TATCGGTTGTAAGATTCGGTGCCGTGGTTCCGGGGCGGGCGTGGGTTGGTGAGGGGGAGACATATACGTAGTTGCCATCAATTCGCCGTCCCAGGTGCTGCAGCCAGCGCGCGTGATGCGTGGTAACAAAGAAACAGACAAAGAAGATCATCGCACTCTGGAACAAACGGCGGCGCAAGCGCGCGAGCGCATTATTAGCCACTTATGCGCCGCCTTATCGCGCGCCGAACCGGCACTCGCGGAATTCGCGCGCGCGTGATTCAATGTCGCCGTCGTGCCTCGCTTAATCGACGCCGCATTTCCGCCCACCGCCGCTGGTCGTCGTCGTCCTTGGTCGCGGGTTGTGCTTGTTAAAACAGGCGCACGGCACAGGCAACCCGCCTCCTCCCGGGCTAACTTGTTAAACTGAGGAGAGAGAGCCGCGCGCTGCCTAAGCGAAAACACGCGCCAGACGAGAAACAATAGCAGCTGCGCGCAGACCGAGAAAACAAAAATAGGCAGCAGCTAGCACGCCAGCTGTCGCGGGGGACCCTGTGTTTGGTTGCATGGCGAGTGTCCCGTAACCGCGTTCGAGGCTAGCCGCGTGTTACATGTGTAGAGCGCCGGCGGGAGGCGCTTGAGTGGCTGGATAAGCAATAGACAAAGCTGCTTGCTGGCGCTGCTACATGGATTGAGCCGCGAGCTACAGCGCAGAGAAAGAGAGCGCCAGAGATAGATAGAGGAGACGCGAATACGCAGATCGCTAAGAGTAGAGATAACTAGATCTAGAGATGATAGAATAGAGGTAGGGAGCTAGACGAGGATAGAGAGCGTATAAGGAGAAAGAGAGAGAGATTAAAAAGAGAGCAAGAGAGAGCAAGAGAGAATGCAGAGAGAGACGCACTAACCGATAAGAGAACGGAGCAGAGCAGAAGAGAGACGAGAGAGGAGATAGAGACGGAGCAAAGCAGAGAGCAGATAGCAGATACGGATAGATAGTAATAGAGTAGATTAGATAGAGATAGCTAGAGAAGAGCAGAGAGAGAGAAGAGAGAGATGGATCGAGAGACGAGAGAGAGAGAGCAGAAAGAGAGACGTATGCATGAGAGGAAAAGAAGAGAGCAGCGACGGGAGCGCGACGAGACAGAGAGTAGAGAGATCAGAACGAGACATACGCAGTGAGCCGAGAGGACGCAACGAGCGGCAAAGGGGGCAGGGGGAAGCGAAGGCGAAGAGAGATCACAAAGAGCGGAAGACACAATACACACACACACACACACGACACATCACACCACACACACACACACACACACCACACCTACGCACGCACACACGCACACACGCACACACACTCACACACACACACAACACACACACACACGCAGAGAGAGAGAGCAGAGCATAGAGAGAGAGAGACGGCCGAGAGACAAAGACAGAACGATGCAGAGCGGATGAGAAAGACGAACCTCACTGCGCCACGTCCGCTACATCCAGTCCTCCGCGCACCGTCGCAGCCGCGCGCGCAGCCCAGCAGCAGCAGCGCAGCTCGCTGGCTGCGTGCGCACATAACACGCGCCATAACCATTCCCTCGCAGATATCTATGACGCATAATAGCTAAATTTTAAAGATTTTATTTACGTAACGTTTAGAATCCGGGCGACAGCGCGCGCTACGCTGAGCCGGAAAACTCGTTCGCTGTGAGTAGGACGGCAATGACGCTCATTCCCGCCCTTCCTGCTAACAAATAACTGAACGCCGACGGACACGAGCTACCGAGGGCCGACGGCAACGATTGTTTCGAAGAAGAGATAAAAAAAAAACTCGTTATACTCGCCGATGGAACTACAAAGGCGCAGCACTCGCTTGGTGTCTTTATAACCGTTTATTTTATTGCCTAATTTGTCGATGTGGCAGCGCGCCGTGGTCGAATACGATTGTATGTCCGGTACTATGGGCACGTCTGCGTTGCGCGTCTATGCTGTCTGTGTTGTTGTTGTCATCGTCGTTGTCGTCGTCGTTGTCGTCCGGTGAGCTGGGCGACTTGTTCATGCAGCATCGCCCGCTCTGAGTAGCTCGCACAATCGTAAAACTGCCAGCGGAAAAAAACATATTAGGACGCGACTATATGCACGCGCAATGGAAGGAAACAAAACTAATACGCGGATTCAGCGTAATGACTGCCGCATCTTGCCCGCTAGATGGCCTTGGTAGCACACGGTTGCGTGGCGACCTCGCAAACACGTAGAATTTGAGAAAGAATGAGAAAGAGATTGCACGGAAAGTAAAAAAAAAAAGAGGACGAGATGAGAAAGAGAGGCGCGTGAGAGTCGCGAGAGGAGAGATAGATAGAGAGAGAGAGAGAGAGAACGAGAGAGAGAGGAGAGATAGAGAGAAGAAGAAAAGAAAGGAGAAGAGAGAGAGAGGAGAGAGAAGAGAGGGGAGCGAGAGAAGAGAGAGAGAGAGACGACGTCCCACACACATTGTTGTAAAACACATTAAACCGTAATAGAAATCAGATTGTTGTTTTATCTTTGCAGGTTTCCGTGTACACTGTTTGTTTCTGATGACCCTCAGCACAGTATATAGTATGTATGTATAACTTTATTGAGTTCACTGTTAAGTGTACAAACGCACTCTGAGATTTTACTGCTCACGGAAGGTAACTGTCAAGAGAAACATTCACGTGCTATATCACGCGGCGCAAACACGACATAAACTAGTTAGACCATAGTAAACACCGTAGAACGGTCAACTGCAAAATGTATATATGCCGAACAAACCCGCAACAACAACAACAACAACAACAACAACAATAAACAACAAATAGTTGGTAATCTCGTCATACAAAACAATGTGATGGTGCGGCGGATCGATAGGAACTGTGTTTCAAAATAACTAAATTTTAACAAAGCGACAAATTTAAATATAATAGTTTTCGATCACGCTCTGAAAATGCAATAACAAGAAAACAGGACATAGGAATCTCCATAGCGATTGATTTTCAAAATGACTATTAACTAAATTGATAAAATAAATGCGCGAGTAAAATAATAAATAAACGAATTAATTAACAGTGGAAGAGAGACGCGTATAACTCATCTTCTATCCTTTTCTCTTCCCGCAGATCCACGCGCCTGGACCAGGGAAGACGTCGCACTATGGCTGAGGCGATGTCGCTCGTGCACGGCGTGGAGGTCCATCTAGACAGGTTCCTCATGAACGGCAGGCGTCTGTGTCTCATGAACATCGACAGTTCGTCGTGCGCGTGCGCCTAGGGGGCAAGCTGCTGTACAGAGACTTCCAGCTGCGTCTGGCCACAAGGCCAGCTGCCAAGACGGTCTAGCGCCATCTACGGCCGACGCTGAGCACTGTCCCACGCCCAACTACACGCCGACGCGCAGGCACTTGCACAGCGCCGCCCAACTCAGCCGGACCGCGAGCACTGCACAGCGCCACCCTACAGCCGACGCGACACTGCACAGCGCCCCCTACAGCGACAGCGAGCACTGCAGCACCGCCACTCTACAGCCGACGCGCCCCACAGCGCCGGCTCACAGCGCCCCTACAGCCGACGAGGCACTGCGCAGCGCCACCTACAGCTAATGCGAGGCACTGCACAGCGGCACCTACAGCCGGGACCATTAATGCACGTCTAGCGTCCCCTATAGCCGTGACAATGCATGTCACGTCGTATTGCGCCTCCTACAGCTGGAACACAACAATTGCATACCATCGAGCGCCCCCTACCGTCGGGACGTAGCACTGCACTGCGATTAGTGCCCTTGCCCATAACCCGGATAATCCGCATCAAAACGTTTGGAGCATCTCCATCTACGACAAGGCGCAAGAAAATGTCTAGAGCCACCTACCGATAGCACAAGGCGCTAGAAAACGTATAGCGCCACCTACCGGTGACACAAGGTGCTACGCAGCACCTTATAGCGCCCTCTGCAGTCACGGAAATGTGCTCCAGAATGTGTAGTGTCTTCCTCGCGCAATAGATACAGCAGATACGGCTGTACGCGGGCTTCAACCCAATAACCACGGCGGGCTACACGTCGTAAGAAAATGGAAATCGCCTTGTAGAGTAAACCTAAGAGCTTGCGCATGCCGCATCTCCCTCAGCGTTACCGTGGACATTTTCTGCTCCCACTGGTTCCAAAATGAATATATTACAACTAGAATTAATTCTGCCAATATCATACGCAATATAGATGTGTACAGATAACACAGCGTGCTGATCTTACGGAATGCTTTTCAGGCTGGGTATAGGTGTAGTTTTAAATTGAGATACCGTTTTCCCGCGATTAATGAAATAGCGTTGTAATTATTATTTTTCTACGTGTGTAAATTTTGTAAAACGGTTCGTGGGAGCTAAAAATCAAAAATCAGTCCTGTCGCCTGTCGTCTGTTTGTTTGCATCGCCCAGTAAGATCTGGCGATCACATAATTATTGCTTGGGCGATGTTATGCTGACAATATCTGTATTTAGGTTGATAATTAATCACTAGTTATCACCAGGTGGAAGCACCAAACGGGTTTCTTCGCAGAGTTAGTGCGATAGTTGTGCTTGCAACCCTTGTACACATACAAGCCTCCGGAAGGAGCGAAGATCAAATAGGCATAGAATTGGATATCAACATTTACTTGCTCTATCTTGTCCTACGGAATATTTATGTGTAAGTTTTTGTAAATTAATGCTTAAATATTGCATATATAAATATTAATTATTATGCTTATAATTTGTACATTTTTGTATGATTTGATAATAAAATATTGTGTAATTGTATTGTACTTTTATTTAATGATTTCACTACTGAACTAGTTTACAATGCAGACAATAATAATTAATTATCAAATATTTCATTTAACATAATCATGTATAACTTACTTGACTTACGTGCTTCTCTCCCGGTGGAGAATAGTGCCAAGAATCATGTTTAAACAAATAGTTTATAAGCCGTTTAACGACCAAATTCCAACCAGTTTTCCAAAGATAAAATCACTCACACGAATGAAATGGTTTTGTTAAGCAATGGCTTTATTTATATCTACAATAGTGTAGTTTTAATTTATCACAAAATTATGATAAATATACTTGCTACCCACGTAACCCATCCCTCGTTACATCACTCAACAACAAAACTTTACGCAACTCATGCATGCGCGACAATAAATATGTCTTGTTCTCGAAATGGATTTATACACATGACATCATACTGACAAAGAACCATTCTGTTGGTTTTAAGAGTTTCACACCTGGAAATACAATGTGGACCTACCTGAATAGATCAAGTAAGAATATAGGCACCCCTTTTACAAAAAAACACGCGTACATGGCTCACCAGGATACAGCAAAACTTGGAGCTGATCTCTCGATATTGGCAACGCAGGTTTAAAATTCACGCCCAACATCATGAAACGAGCCACTGCATGAAGATGCATGCGCATACGTCTAGCGGCGACAGAGGATAACAGAATCCCGATTCGATCGGCAATCTAGACATCAGAGCCGCGTGACACGTGTCAAACGAACGGACGACCGCCACGAGAAACGGACCGCCGATGCCACCTCCCCACCCCGGCCAGATTCGCTCTCTCGGTGCGTAAACTGTGAAAGCGCACCCAACGTATACCGGACCAGCAATCTCCTGCTCCCTTGTGCTACCTCCTTACCCCCCTGTGACAAGTCTACCCCACCCTAAACATTACACACGAGCAAATAAAGGCCAAATCCTGGCTCTCGCAAAAATGTGGCATTCAAATACAGGTGGCCAACCGTGTGCCCTGCTAGGCACGCCCTTCACAGCCATATATGTATAGTAAAGGGGAACATCGATATCGATCGAACATCGATATATGCACGTCAGAGAAAACGCGAGGAGGTATTCCCCCGCCCAGCCCGCTCACTTGAACACGACCGTGTCGATGTATAATATGTATTGATATATTATGTATAGTAAGAGCTATGGGTAAGCCTGTCACACAGGAGGCATGAGTAAGTATCCACGCTGGCCAGCCTGCCCGGCCTGCCCCGCCCAGCCCGCCCGCTCACTTGAAGACGACCGTGTCGAGCATCGCGCCGAGGCACTGCACAATGTTGCCCGTCATCAGCACCTCGACGCACTCCTCCAGGTGGCGCTTCGGGTCCTGCTTGCCGACGTTCTTCACGGCGAGCTGCTCGGCCGTCATCGTCTCCTCGTCTTCGAGCGCGCGCTGGTAGCTGCGCGCGAGCGCGAGCATCTCGCGCACCGTCGCCGCGTCGCCGCGGCAACGGTCGGCATAGTCGTGCAGCCGCAGGCCGTCCATCCAGCTCTTCTTGTGCAGGTTGAGCAGCATCTTCTGCTCGAGCTCGTTCTTGCGGTAGTTGATCGAGATCGAGTAGTAGTGTCGGTTGAGGCCGTGTATGAGCGCTTGTATCGACGGCTTCTGCAGGTGGCCGAGGTTGGACGTCGTCTGACGCGGCTCCTGGCCCAGCACCATCATGTTCGGGTTGATGAGCCGGAACGCGTCGATCACAACCTGGCCGACGAGAAACAACGGCCGGTGGTTAATGACGCGCAGACACACGCGTTGATAGAAAATAGATCGTATAAATACATGGGATTATACAATAAGATGGATAACGATGAAAGAAATAACGGGAGGGGGGTAGAAATTGACCTTCTATTTGCCGTGTGAACACTGGTTGATAAAAAATCGATTATATAAATACATGAGATGATACAATAAGATGGATAATGATAAAAGAAATAACAGGGAGAAATTGAACTTCCATTTGCCATGTAAACACTGGTTGACACAGGCTCGACGTTGAAGCTTAAAACAGTAATGCGAGAGCGTACATGTACCAGGGTAAAAAATACACGGGAGCGATGAGCGATTCGCTCTTCAAACCTCCGAAATCGCTCCCGCGAGGCTCAAAATAGCTCCCGTAAAATTCAGCGCCTCGCGTCGCCCGGACCTGTATGTAGCACGTGCACGTCGCTCGACCCACCTTGCCCTTGACGCTCTGTATGGGGTCGACGACGACGGCTACGGCGCGCTCCGACAGTGCCTCGAAGCTCTGTTGCGTGTTGATGTCGACGCCGGACAGCCAGCAGCCGAAGCCGGGATGCGAGTGGTACCAGCCGACGACCATCTCGGGCCGGCCCGTCTGCCGCAGCATGTCGAGCATCTTCGCCTGGAAGACGGGGTCGACCGCCTCGACGCTGACGCCCGTGCCGGACTGCGGCATCGCAAACACGTCGATGACTCGCACCTGCAACGATGCCGATAGGAAGTTTAAGAGCCAGTGTTGCGACACTGCCGCCGAGATTTTCGGCCAGGCTTGACCAGATCAACAGCAAAGCAGTGCTAACGCTGTTTGCAGCGTGTCCGCAAGCACCAAGGCACGCTCAGCTCTTTGTCCCCCCTGCCCGGCTGGAATTTCGGAGCAGGTGGTCAACCTGCGTGTTACCACAGCTTGAATTCTCCGGCCACAGGTCAGCCTGTTGACATGGAATCTAATTACCGCAAATAGATCAAGGTCGGCGGGAATGCGTCGACGCAGCTGCGCATGCGCCCGGGTCCCATCTATAGTCTATATGACCATCGAGTCCCTGTAGGCACGCACAGAGATAATATAATCTATATGTCTCTATATAAATGGACTCTGGATTACCCTTACCTCTTTTGGTACGGGATTCGATGGTGGCGCTATCTATCGGTTGTGTTCGTGCGTGGGTTCCGGGGCGGGGTGGGTGGTGAGGGGGGAGACATATCGTAGTGCCATCAATCGCCCCCAGGGCGCGCGCGCGATGCGTGGAACAAAAAACAGAAAGAAATACTCGCATCTGGAACAACGGCCGCGAAGCGCGAGCGTCATTATATCGCCATTATGGCGCCGCCTATCGGCGAACCGGACTCGCGGAATTCGGCGCGCGTGATTCATTTCGCCGTCTGCCTCGTTAATCACGCTGCATTCCGCCGCGCCGCTGCGTCGTCGTCGTCCTTGGTCGCGTGTTGTGCTTGTAAACAGGCGCACTGCACACAGGCACCCGCCTCCTCGGTAATTGTTAATGAGAGGAGAGAGCGCGCGCGCTGCTAAGGAAAACACGCGCAGACGAGAAACAATAGGCAGCGGCGGCAGACGAGAAACAATAGGCAGCAGCAGCAGCTGTCGGTGTGTTGGTTGATGAGTGTCCCGTACGCGTTCGATGCTAGCCGCGTGTTACATGTGTAGAGCGGGTGGGAGGCGCTGAGTGGCTGGATAGACAATAGACAAAGCTGCTGCTGGTGCTACATGATTGAGCCGCTAACGCGTAACTCGAGACAACTTGAGCTCAAACTGCGTGCACAGAACATTCGCCTAACATCGTGCGAAAAATCGTTTCCTCGTATACACCCGCAATCACCGCGAGATACACCCTAAAACGTACACAACACGATGGGTTTCCATTATGTTGCCACGCAACTGGAAGTGTGTAACGCTTAACTCGAATACAAAAGGCAGCTACTCAACGACTCATGCGCCCTCGGGCGCATGCGGTGCTGGGCTCGGCGTGAGGCTAATTCTTTAGCCTATTTAACAGCCTGCCTTTTGTTTCCGCAGTAGCGGTTACGACATTCAGTTTGCTGGCAACATAATGGAATTGGTGTCATTCGTGTTAGTTCTGTATCTCGCGGATTGCGGTGTATACGAAGAAACGTTTTTTGCACGATGGCTAGCGAATGATCTTGCGCATGTAGTGTGTAAGATTTGAGCTCAATTGGTTTGAGTTAGCGCGTAGTAAATCTTAGGTATTCTAGGGAGGCTATAATCACAAATTTTCCCTGTTTATTGAAGTCACACTCCTTCCCTTAATATATTGTACTAGCGCCTCGAAGTTAAGCGATGAGAAGGGCAAGGCAATTTTGGGGCATGTGAGAAATTGCGCGCTGAATTTCTCTAAAATGGATGGGCACCGAGGCAATTTTAAAAGGCATCAAGGTCAATTCTCAGAATTTGAGAAGGGCACGCAAGGCCCCATTTGTTATGAATAAACTTGTGTCATCGTATGAATTCTACTAAAATTTTTGCTAATTTACTGGCACGTTAGCAGCTAACAGCGACGTACATGATCACTGGCATTCTTGCGCAAGCGTTCGTTTGACTGCGTTTCGCGCGCAGCTTTAAATGCGCGCGCGGAGCCGAGATCCGAGCGCTCGCAAGCATTTAAATATTCGTGTTCTACCAACGGGCAATACACAGTCACGCATTTATCGATCGTCTACTGAGCAGCGGTTGGCAGGCATACCACGTTATTCCGTTTCTTCCCAGAACGGGTGACTGGGTATCCGGCCTCAAGCTCTGCTAAGACAACTGTAACACGGCTGCTGCGATAAACAGTGGCGGCTCCGACGAGTTCTAAGCGCCCGCTAGCACCGACGGCAAATTAGAGAAAAGGGCAAGGCCGGTCACTGCCGTCGCGGGTTGGATTTTCAGGGGTCAGTAACGGCGATTGAATGAGGGCACCGCCGCAATTGCCGTCGTGCGTCGGTTAAGTTCGAGGCCGCTGTTGTTATGTGACTCCTGATGTTATGTAAGATAGACTAATATATAAGTATAGTACTAACTACTATAGCCGCCGACCAGCCGCTGTTGCGACGGTTTGCTATAGTACTTGTAAACGCTAGTATTGTAAGCGACGTATTGTAACTCCTAGCAATACCGTTTCTTGAGCTATAAAGTTATAACTACTTAATACTAATAGTTAATACTGAAGGCCATGAGACTGAAACCATCCGGTTTATCCGTCCCCGCCGCCGCATGCCGCTTTAGTCCCGCTCCCAAAAAAGTCATATAGAAAAATTTTTTTCCAATGTTCATTTTGGAAAAAAATTCCGCCTCACTGAACATAATAGACTAATCCAAAGGTGTACTTAGCCTAAACAGCAATTCTGATGGATTTTGACCAAAAGCTTGGGGGCAGTCCGATTTGTACCATGCCACTTTTCTAACCGCGTAGACATATATGAGTATAATCAGTGGCGCCGGATATAAGATTTGTCCGAAAAAACCGCAAAGATGATCTAACCGAAAATCCGCCGATATCGTGAAAGAATGAAAAAGTTTCAGCCTGAAAAATAAAATAATGAATAAAAAGAGGGACGGCTTAGCATTGTTTTTGTCTGCTACTGTAATTTCACTGTATTTCAGCCTGAAAAATTAAATAATAGAATAATGAATAATGAAAAAGCGTCATCCAGCTTTTTAAAATTCCTTGGACGGTAACCGGGATTTTTCATTCTCATGCCTA